GTTTAAAAAGTAAGTTTTAGGCGCATATATTTTTTATTAACGTTACTATTGCAGTCAACCCACGAACGCATCTCATTTGCGTGTCGAGCACGCGCTGTGACGTCAGCGTGGGATGGGGCGGCGTCAGGCGAAGAGGGGGAAACATTTTCATTGAAACACGTCATGGAAAAATCCATGATTGTTTTGGGTCGGGATAGCTGGAGTGGATGTTGAGTGTGACGAGATTTGAACGGATGAAAAGTCAACTTGTACAAGTAAAATTCATAGAACTCTATGTACGAAAGTTTATCACAAATCAGCAAATCTTTGAATAAAATAATGACTTATAATAATTTGTAATTTACTCCAAAATAAACTTCTTACTGCCATGTGGTTTTGATTTAATTATTTCGTATTACATGTTTGACTTTGTTACCTTGGGTCTAACAAGAAACTTTACCATTTAGTTTAATAACTTACTGCCTCATAAAAAAACGCGTTGGATGGTGAGGTTGTTGTTGTTTTAATAGCCCATCCTGGCAGTGGCGACTAGGGAGGGGGGGGTGATAGGTCAGTTTTTCCGGGCACTCGGTACCACTGGTAGTTCCACGACCATCACTGGCTCGCTACCCGCCAGAACCATTTAGTTGCATTACACAACACCCTGGACAAGCCAGGTACTCATTTATCAACCAGAGTTGGATGAATGGCACTGAACTGAGGTTCCCGGTTGAACTTGTCCTCTGTGGGACTCGAACCCGGGTGCTGGGTGCAAGAGACAGAGTCTCTCACCACTGCACCACACAGCCACGGATGGTGAGGTGCTGAGAGCGACCGGAGTTCAATGAATTATGTTATTAAATAAAAAATCAAAAATACGTAATTCTTATAATTTTGGTTATGAATGGCATTAAATATTGTTTAAAGAGTCTCTTTCTGTTTTTTTGAAGATAAGAAATAGACGCCTAATATAAAAGCTTAAAACACACAAAAATAAATACGCAAGAAATTATACGAATATCAAGTTCGTTTGAGCGCTTATTGTTTGCATTATTTTGGTGATGAGGAGAGAAACCAAAAATCCTGCATTATACAGGGTGTCCCAGAAAAAAGATACCCAACTTTGAATGGCTGTAACTCGAAAAGTAATAGAGTTAAAAAAATTTGGAAGGTCAGGATTTGTTCCCTATGTTTTTCTGCATCTCTCCACCAAAAATCAGACAGATCGATGTAGCCATAAGCGTTTGATAGAACTTTCAGTGACATGTGCTAAAATCGTGCTTGCGCAAAGTTTTAGTAAGATCATTTTGCATAATCATTACGTTGTCTTGACATGTTTTCTTTTCGCTGTTTGATTTTTAGCGCATTTTCTCATTTATGAAAAAATGAACTATTGTGCTTGCTATGTCCGTCTGTCCGTCTGTCTGTCCGTCCGCGACTTCATGTTTTCGTCGACGAGAAAATGCGCTCTCTGTCACTCACTGCAGTAAGCACTGAGTTACATTTTTTTGTATCTTTGGTGAGACAAAAACATGGCAATCTTTGGTGAGAGGCAATCTTTGGTTTTGAATTTCTCTCTCACCAAAGATTGCCATCATTGTCTCTCACCATAGATTGCCATGATTGTGTCTCACCAAAGATTTCCATGATTGTCTCTCACCAAAGATTGTCATGATTGTGTCTCACCAAAGATTGTCATGATTGCCTCTCACCAAAGATTGACANAATGTAGCGGCCGCTAGTAGCGGCCGCTACATGTAGCGCGCTACTGTCCACCTCTGGGGATAAGTACCAAAAATCCTGCATCAGATATCACTAAATTTGCTTCATTAAAATGATATAAAAATGGACACTTCTCCTGCCAAACATTAAGTGCATATGTTACTTATTTAAGTTGTACAGGGGAGACGAGCTTCGAGGCCTTCGAAGCGACGTTCGAAAATTGAAACAGAGCTACAAGGAAGGAAAAAACACGTTTTTCAATTGATACAATGGCTTTGAACAAATATAATGAAATTTAATTATAAAATAAGTTTATGAGACATATTAAGCAACCTGAGTTGTTGAAACTGGCATTTACATGCAAATAAACAATCTGATCATTCATTTTTCATTCATTTGTTAGTCGAATATGAAGGCGGAAGATAATGCAGTGAAATATTCTAACGAGAAAGTGACGTCACAAACCTATACATATATATACCTGCTAACTAATTATGCTACAAGTTAACCATCTAGCATCGACAGGGCCAACCACAATTACCAAATTATTATTGCGCTCGCGCAACATTCAATGAAATTGTTGCAACAATGTGATTATGTAGAAAATGTATAACATTCGGAGGGATATATTTCGCTGGGATGTTGGTACAACACTCAAATCTTAATCTAAGTATCACATAATATCGCATTACTCAATACACATATTCAGTAAGATCTGCTCCTGATGCGTAAGTCCACTGATGAATCAGCAATAAGAACTATACGCACTGCAGGTCTTGATATCTCTAATGTGATTTAGTGAGAGATAGGGAGATGATAAGAGACAGGACAACCGATGTCGTTCCAAATTGCTATTGCAGAGCAGTCGATATGTACACCGGCTCACGTTTGGTGTGCACCATTCCAATTTGAATAAAGATTATATTTTGGAAATTTGTATTTATTTTGTGGAATTAGTGAAACTGTGAACAACGAAATCCCGGAAGCAAATCGGATCGCCTGAGAACTTTACTTTAAGTGCAAATTATGTGCGTTTACCAATAGCTTCAGTGGAGGTGTTCTGTATGATATCTAAGTGCGCATATTGGGATAGGAACAACTATACAGGTTCAATCATACATGAAATTGCTTAAAACTTAAGAGGTATATGTCAGTGAATCGAACAGCTAAAAATCAACTTTCATGTATTTATCAGCGCATTTTAGCCTTATTTTCTGATATATAGCTATCATTAGAAGGGGTGCTAATACATTGTAGTATTACAATGAGTTCATTTCCCTCTGTAGGTGTTATATATTGATTTATGCTTACGTGTTAATTTTTAGGAATTATTAAGGAACTATGTTGGGAATTACAAAATGCATGAAAACACTTTTCGATGAAGGCTAACTGCAGATATAAAATAGCCCTTAAGTGGTATTACGAAAAAAATTAATTAAGATAAATTGGATTTATTTTTTGCGCGTTGTGCAGTGGTGGCCGCGATGACGTCAGCTCAGCGCGACCTGGAACGCTTCATCCCAGGCCGTCCAGTGCCCGGCGTGGCTCCAGGCATCATGCCGATGTCGGCTGGAGTCCAGACCAGACCTTTTCCTAGACCGCCACAGCAGGGAGGATTTGATAGTGCAGACCCCAGCTGTCTTCAGACTGAGCCTCTACCTCCTCCAGTGTTTTCTGTCACAGACCCCAACCGTCCTCAGGTTCAGTCCCAACCTTCCCAGTAGCATTCAGGCTGAACTGACATCAAGAGGCTGAAGAACACAACAATCTTAAAAATAATAGTGTCGTTGAAAATTTTGTTTCATGAATAGTAATCCTTTGGACAGTTAACGCCTTTGTAAGTTTTTTAGTAAAACTACAGTTTTTTTATGTAGAGAGTTAGTGGAGGCAGAATAAAACGTTTTTCTTCCGCAAGCTGAGCCACTCGGGCCTCTATTATCAAGCGTTAGTCTCAAAATTACAGATGTTGTTCCTTTAGTTTAGATAGACCTCAAGGAGAAGGTGCCTATCCTATATATATATTCAGGAGCTGAAATTACATTAGTGAACACTGAATGCGTGAATATATTATTTTGAGGGGATGATTTTGTTATGTAAGATTTTTTTGGTTTCCTCGAAAGGCGGAATAAGTGAATATAATTGTACGTTGAAAAGTTATAACGCATAGCTAGTACAATAAAAATAAATATTTTGATAATGCCTATAACATCAAAAGTACATCTTGGAGAAATAAATATTGTAAAAAATTTGATTTTAATAAAATTTAATAAATTCATATAATAATATATGCATATAGTATTCGTAATGAATAAAATATTCAAATAAAATTTTTGTGTAATAAATTTATGTAATAATAAAACGGTTACACCAGAAATTTCTCTATCATTCTCAATTTATGAAACCAAAATGATCAAGGCAGTTGTTGATAGAAGCCCAGCTTGAGAAGAACTCAAACTTAAAGCAAAAAAAAAGTCTGACTGATCCGTTTAAAGGTTCGGCGGAATTTATCAATAATAATAAGAAGATTGCTGACAGAGAAAATAACTGTACATCTACAGAATTTTTTTAATCTAGGAAGCTAAAATAATTTTCAGAAAAGACAATTGATTTCATAAAATCAAACTTCAATAATTATTTAATTACATGGATGAATGATGATACGAAACATTTATCATTCCTTTGTAGCCGCAATGTATTGTAATTCATAAGTTATATCATCAAATAAATTGCAATAATTCATGTTTTCTAGCGTGAGTCTGGGACAATCATTAGTTTAGGACTTGCATCAATCTTCTGGACAATAAAAAACAATTGCTCGCATTCAAACGTGTGTTAAAAACTAAACTAAAAACACGCATGAAACCTGTGTTTTAAACCTAAATTCTTCTAAACGTAATTTACGAAGTAGTTTAAAAGTTTTGTAATCTATAATTTTGAATTTCCGTATTTATCAATCAACGCAGTGCGATGCAGGAAACTTTTTAAAAGGAATTGCAAGTCATTATTTTCTTAAAGCCCCAAGCAAATTTGAGTCTCGAATTTCCAATGAACAACGAGTTTCATTTAAAGGTGGTTCTTGGAGACTGTCGGCGTATTTTCCTAGTATTGTTTGAACGAGTAACAGATCATTTAACCGCCCCCTGTGGAGTTTGTTCCAAACATTGCCATTGTCATTTTCTTAGTAAAGTTATTGATCATGAGGTGTGACTTGGTGCCAGGGTTGATATACGGTTTAAGCAAATAATAGCGAGGTGATTCCTAAGTAATCTCGTCGACGGTATAAATAGAAGGCTTCATGGAGAGAATTTACAGTCCTGTATACTTCTTCAAGCGAGATAGTACGTTTCTCCGCACAAACCAAACTGCATCAACATGTCAAACTTCTTTGGCTTAGCGTTCATTCTTGTCGGTGAGTTTAAACGAACCTAATTTGTTCGATTTACGTTTTCAAATATGCTGAATCTTGATTGTCATGTTCTGTATACGAGTCTTGTTTTGAATATTATGAATGTATGATAGATATATATGATATTTCGAATATGTGATTTTGTTGTGAATATATATATGATTGTCATGTTCTATATATGAGTTTTTCTCATGAACATTGAGATCACTTGATTGCAGGAATCATGATTGAATAAAAATTAAAATACTACGAAGGTGCTAAGAAAAAATGCGTAGATCGTGATGATGGCGTTTCTGAGTGCAGGCTCGTATATACATACATGCGTGACATCAATACGTTGCTTGCGTTTGTTAATAAAATGTAACCTCGACATTATCGAGTAATTGTACGATTAAAATAAAATTAATTCACGAAACAGGAGGATTCATGAAGCGAATATAATTTGTAGTATTTGATGTTACTCCGAGATATATGTTTATGTTATAAGTTTGGTGTCATAGCTCTGACTTTTTCATTGGCTGCTCCGACGGAGATCGCGTCGTAAGTTACCCAAAGCTCACGCGATTCTTAATGCGGTGATTAAGTGAGAGTTCAGCTAACTGCGATTTTATTGAATTCGCATTTTGAAGATGAAAGGATGTGAAAATTTAAGCATTTTCCGATGTCTGGTGCAGTGGTGGCCGCGATGACGTCAGCTCAACGCGACCTGGAACGCTTCACCCCAGGCCGTCCAGTGCCAGGCGTGGCTCCAGGCATCAGACCGCTGTCGGCTGGAGCCCAGACCAGACCTCTCCCCAGACCTCAGATTCAGCCCGTGCCTCGACCTCCTCCAGTGCTCGTTCCTCAGTCTCTTCCGTCACAGCAGGGGGGCTTCGTGGTTCCGAACCCAAACCGCCCTCAGGTTCAGCCCCAACCTGTCGGATAAACTCCAACTTCAGCCTGGCATTACAGTCTATGGTCTTAAACAGTTCATTTTGATCTGCAGATTTTTTACACATACCATCTTGAGCAACAGAACGGAGGTCACTTAATGCAACGTTTTTATTTGGCCTCGCTCCCTTGTAAAGATCTAATGTTTCTGTTTCAGACAAACTAAAAAAATATCATATAAAACGTAGAAGCTTTGGTCTGATCCGATCACTTTTGAACTGTGGCTGAAATATCTCTGTTTATATAAGACCACACATTTAGGATTCCCGGCGTAAATTTTTTTCCCACTAAATTGTCATCATCTCATATTATGCTACATGAAATAAAATATTTTATTGAATGAATCGCATATGTACGGATGGTCAGCTCAAATTCTAGAGTATATTTTCGGTATATTGGAAATTGTTGTTTTAATTAATGCCTCTATATTTTCACGGTGTTCTTAACCGTCTTACATTTAATTTTTACACGCATGTTCAGCCTTTCCGAAATTTGCTGAAGATGACACGACAAACTTTCCGCCAGAGCAGACCAAGCCTCTTCACAGACCATGACAGGGATTGACGGTCCCAAGCCCCAGCCCTCCTTAGGTTTAGCCCAAACTTTCCCTTTAACATTCAAACTTGGCTGACTGATGCGAAAAAGGCAAATCTTGATAGACAGTAAAAATATTTTTCTAAAGCATTAAATTACCTTCAAATCTTGTGAATAAATTTATGCCTAAATTTTCAAATTTCCGATAACCGAAATCAAATCTATGGGAGAATATGACAATTTTTTCCGTTTTTCTGTGTAACTAAATACAGATGGAAAACAATACTAAACAAGATGGAAAATACACCACACGAATATGTATTATTCATTCAATTCAATTTGAACAACGAAATAGATCAGTGCGGACCGCATGGCAAGCAATATAGTAACGGAGTATTTTACCTATACAATAATTCTACTGATGGAGGATTTTAAACGACTAGATTTTATGATAATTCCAACAGGTTAAACTCGTGACTAACTATATGATTTTAATGCTCAGAAATAATGTTGATAAAAGTATTGAATTTATATCTCTCTGACGCCTATATATAATCACTGTTCGGGCGAGAGCTAAATAGCTGTCCTGTTAGTTTCTCCTGGCCTCGTAAAAATAATTTATGTGGATAACAAATTTTCATGTTAACTTATTTTCCTGGTCATTTGGATTCTCATGACATGAACTACATCAATCGGGATATCTTCTCTTAAATGGGCGATAATAAAAAAATAAAGGAAAATAAATATAGATATAATATAATTATAATTAAAATGCAAATATAAAGATGAGGCCAGAATAATATATAAAGAGCGACGCACAGATTACTTAACGATGAGCCGATGCCAACGCTCGACAGTAAAATATTAGTAGAAATTGCGATGGGAGTGAGTGCGCATCATGCTAATCGATGAGTCGTAGAGAATTGTTGGGTCAGATTCATCCATAAGTATTGCAGGTGAAAGAGAGCGGTGCAGGTGAACTGTTCGCCCTAACTGTTGAGTCTATATATGAATATGCCACTTTAATTTATCCAACAAAAAATAAGTTATTAGGTTGTGCAAATTTGAAACCAAGGAGAAACCATATCTTTATTCGATGTGTTTAGTTTGCATGATTTAGATTCCAGTAAATTTCTTTTAAATTTAACGTGTCTTGGGGAGGTATTACGTACAGAATCGGAAACAGGGCGTTAATAAATATTTTAGGCAAAATTATGGTGGGTTTGCCTAAGTTTGTGAATAGTTCAGCACTGCTTGGCCATTATGAGCAAAGTTATTTTAGTTTTCATATGTTTAAAAATAATTTAGTGTCAGTAATGTCAATAGGACAAAAGTAATGGGAAAACAAGTATTAACTTCACATGAACTCTATAAAAAGAGTTTCCCACAAAACACTAAAGTTTCACCAAACGCAAGACGTGTTTGTTTGGGAAAAAGAGTTTCCCTCAAAGAATTTCCCTCGACAAACAAGTATTTGTCGTACATTTTGACCCGTCCCGTAAAAGTTTCAGCTTAGTACATGCATTTGATTGTGACCTGAGGCTACATCGTTTGCCGGCAAATATTTAAAAAACGCCGTATAAATTATTAATCATATAATTACTGAATCTCTTCATTTCTGCTGAACCCCACTATTTCTGCAGTCTAAAGTCAATTATAGTTCTAGATGCGCCAAGAACTCCATGAACTCGGAAGGGAAATAATCCTTTAACGTTACTACGAGCGTGCAACGTAGGATGTTCCACGTCGTACAATTAGCGTATACAGGTTGACTATCATTCAGTCGTTATGATATTCTAGTCAATCGTAGCTACACATCACATTAAAATAATTTATATATATATTAGTAAAGCTGTATAAGTGAAGGGATTTTGTGGCATATATATTTTTTTATTTAGACCAAGTTTATTTGTTAGGCCGGAAAGCTACTGCACCCATCCTGAGATAGTGAATGCATCCTTGGCTGGGAATCCTTGGGATATGTCGTCAATCGTGATTTGACGGTAGGGAACGGCATACAAGACTTTATTTTATTAATGAAGTGCTAGAAATATTTATATGTTTACAATCATAATTTTCATGTTATGATCAAATAGTTTAAGCATTGAATTATTCACTGTTTACTCCTTAGCTTCACAAGTTTTCCTTTGATTTATTAGGAACATCACTGACGGAACCTTGCAATAATTCAGTCCCTAAAAGAATGAAACATGATAAAAAAAACGAAAAGTAATTCTACATATATAATGAAACGCGCATAAAGTATTTTGTTATTCATTCAAATTTATACTAATGGTTTCATATTTAATTGTCCTGTACGGGTAGTACCAATCCTAAAAATATACGTTCAGGTTTCATGTTTTAAAAATAACGCTTTTCTTCGTGATGCTGGTTCTCAAAAAGGAATTGCTTGCTAATTTGTAGTAAAAAATTTTTGCTAAATTGCCGTCTTTAATTCCAACAGAATAACGAATTTAGTTTCAAAGATGCACGCCTACGGGCTTTGTGTTTTTTTTTTCATTTATGAACAAATACTAACCGATCATTTAATTGCCACCTGATAGGGTGGTTCTAAACACTGCCATGGTTTTGGAGCCGGTAAAGTTATCTGTCCCATGATGTGACTCATTTCAAGGGCATACGCGCTATGAGCAAACAACACAAGATAAGTTTTGGTCACCACCCAGATGGTATATAAATACAAGGCTGCGTCGTGAGATGCTACAGTCCTCTTTACTATCGCAGGCCAGATAGTACGATTCTCTCTACACAAGACCCAACTGCATCAATATGTCGAGCGCAATTCGTTTGACATGTCTTCTTGTCGGTATGTATGAATTTTAAAATTTAAAGATGCAATGATTGTTTTCTTTATTATTTAGTGTGTTGCTTATGTAAATTGATTTTGTATCGCAGTGTGCATATTTAATTATTTACAATTTTATAGAAAATGAGAATCATTCAACAAATGAAAATTTTGTAAGATCTTTCTTGATTGAAATGTGAAACTGAACTATTGCGTTGGCAGTAAATCCGTACTAAAATTACTACAATCGAAAACATTTTGTATAGAAACTGTTGTTTGGATATGAAAAATACTAAAGTTTTAGGCAATTCTTGAAATTTTGTGCAGTGGTGGCTGCGTTGACGTCAGCTCAGCGCGATCTGGATCGCTTCACCCCAGGCCGTCCAGTCGAGGGTGTGAATTCAGGCATCAGACCGGTGTCGGCTGGAGTCGAGACCAGACCTCTACCCAGACCTCAGATTCAGCCCGTGCCTCGACCTCCTCCAGTGCCCGTTCCTCAGCCTCTTCCAGTTGAAACCAAGCCTCTACCTAGACCATCAAATGGGCAGACCAAGCCTGCACGTAGACCTCGTCCAGGCACAACTAAGCCTGCCCGTAGACCTCGTCCAGTCCAGACCAAGCCTTTGCCTCGACCGTCACAGCAAGGAGGCTTCACTGTTCCTGATCCCAGCCGCCCCCAGGTTCAGCCCCGACCTTCCGGGTAGTTTTCATGGCAGACTGACAGCGTCAGGCTCATTGACGCTCCCTGCGGTAGTTGTCCTTACCAAGCAATCATCGTTGAAAGATTTTCATAAGAATTTATTACGAGATTTAGCAGCAATTGCTTGTCAATTGTGATTAAAGTAATTTATGGTCCAAGCTTCCTACATTTTCTATGAGTATCGTGTACTGCCGATAAATTGATGCAAAAATATTGCGAACTTTTGATGCAAACTTTTGAAATATTGCGGGATATCTCATATATTATAAAGCAAAATATTTCTAATTTTAAACCGAAAAACTAATTTTAGCTTAGATTCTTTGAAAGCTGTCCGTATCAACCTTTTGTTGTGCAACGAAATATCAACGTTTTGACTTCACTGTTTTGATTTCCTCGTTGGCAGTAATGCCTGTATATGCCTGCTCGAGCTCAGTCATGTAATAAATTATTGTTGCACGTAATATTGTTCTTTAAGTCTATCCTCTATTAGTTTACGCTGTCTTACACTGTAAAACTTCCTTAGGGTCTTATTTTTTATTGTTGTTTGATCTCCATGGAAATGTATGAATTCGTGGAAATATAATTAAAATCATTGCCATTTATTCGTTGAAATTAGAGAAAAAGCTACAAGAAAAGATTAGTTTCTCGACAATTAAAAATTGTTTGGCGGAAAGAAAATGAAATTAGTCAAGAACTGTCTCTTTGAGGTTCTCTTAAAGCAGAAAAATTTGAATAAATACACTTGAATTGTTTCAGTTGATGTAACTCTAATTGAAATTAATTCACATTCTTCGTTCCAATGCTTATACAGTAAGCAGGGGGATTAGATGATTTGGAATGAATAAAAACGTAGTATTAGGAACACACTTAGAGATAAATGTACTGTGATAATTAGTCACCGTTACTGTTATAATTAGTGACGGTGACTAAATGTACTGTGATTATTAGTCACCGTTAGTTTAGTGAACACATGTGAGCCGAGCTGCTACCTAACGAGTGACCGCCTTTCCGACATCAAAACAGGAATCCTGTGTCCAGGATCACATATCCTAATAAAATTTAAATTATTAGTACTTAAAATAATACAACTTATATAAAATCTTTGCTAAATTGTAGTCTTCAATTCCCACAGAACAACGAATTTAGTTTCAAAGATGCACACATAAGGGCTTTGTGTTTTTTTTTCATTTTTGAACAAATACTAACTGATCATTTAACCGCCACCTGTTAAGATGGTTCTAAACACTGCCATGGTTTTGGTGTCAGTAAAGTTATCTGCCGCAGGATGTTATTCATTTCAGGGGCATATGTGCTATGAGCAAACAACAGCGAGATAATTTTAAAGCCACTTACACAGATGGTATAAATACAAGGCTTCATGGTAAGATGTTCCACTACTCTTGACTATTGCAGACCAGATAGTCCGATTCTTTATACACGAGACCAAACTGCATCAACATGTCGAACGAAATTCGTTTGGCACTTCTTGTCGGTATGTATGAATAACTACACATCTAATGATGAAATGATATTATTATTTAAAGTTTAGTGTGTTGCTAGTGTAAACTGATTTTGCATGGCAGTGTACATATCTCATTATTTACAAAGTTTATTAAATGAAAATCATTTAGCAAAATGAAAATGTTGTTACATGTTTCTTGATTAATACATGAAACTGAACTATTGTATTGGCAGTAAATCCTTACTAAAAGTTCTGCTATTGGGAACATTTTTATTGAAACGATATTTTGGATATGAAAAATACTGATGTTTTCAGCACTTCTTGACATTCTGTGCAGTGGTGGCTGCTTTGACGTCAGCTCAGCGCGATCTGGACAGCTTCACCCCAGGCCGTCCAGTCGAGGGTGTGGCTCCAGGCATCAGACCTGTGTCGGCTGGAGTCGAGACCAGACCTCTACCCAGACCTCAGATTCAGCCAGTGCCTCGACCTCCTCCAGTGCCCTTTCCTCAGCCTTTTCCAGTTGAAACCAAGCCTCTACCCAGACCTCAGGTTCAGCCTGTGTCTCGACCTCCACCAGTGCCTGTTCGTAAGCCTCTTCCAGTTGAAACCACACCCAGACCATCAAATGAGACCAAGCCTGCACGTAGCAAGCCTGCACGACATCGTCCAGTCCCGGCTATCCTGACTAAGCCTTTCCGTAGACCTAGTAAGCCTGGACGAGGTCGAGGTCGAGGCTAGGCCTCGTTCAGCCCAGACCAAGCCTTTGCCTCGATTGTCACAGCAGGAAGGGTTTTCTGTTCCTGATCCCAGCCGCCCCCAGGTTCAGCCCCGACCTTCCGGATAGTTTTCATGGGAGACTGACAGCGTCAGGCTCATGACGCGCCAAGCGGTAGTTGTCCTGAGTCCTGACCGCTCAATCATCGTTAAGAGATTTTAATAATATGCGTTAAAAAATTACTTTTTAAAGAAAACACTTCTTAAGAGGCCAGTATCTTCGATGTTACACGTGTACAATGATTTTTTATTTTATTTTTATTCTTTTAATTTTTTTTAATTTTTCTGTTAATATATAAAATTCTGTTTATTGTTGAAATTATTTATTCTGTCTATTGATTCATGCATTGTCTCCGACTTTACGCAAGTGTGCAAAATTTAAGATCCATTGGACAGGTAGAAGTGTGTTGAATATCAATTATATGATACGGAGCAGACAAGCAAACGAACAAGAAGTGAAGTTAAAGAGAGGTTTTGTAAAAACAACGTACTACGAAATTAAGCATCGATTGCATGTCAATTGTGATTAAAGTCATTTATGGTCCAAGCTTCCTACATTTTTATTAGGATCATATACTGTCGATAATTCTAATGCAAAAATCTTTAACTAAGGATAAATTTTTGAAATGTTGTGTGATGTCCCTTATATTAACAGCCAACAATTTCTAATTTCACCGAAAAACCAATTTTAGCTCAGATTCAACCTCTTGTTGTTCCACAAAATATCAACGTTTTAAGTTCACTTTTTTGATTTCCTCGTTGGCGGTAATGCATGTATATGCCTGCTCCGTCTCAGTCATGTAATAAATTTATGTTGCACGTCATATAGTTCTTTAAGTCTATCCTCTTTAATGTAGTTTATGCTGTCTTACACCGTAAAACTTCTTTTTACATAATTATTTGATGTCGATGGAAATGTATAAATTCGTTGAAATATAATTGAAATTGTTGCAAATAATTCGCTCAAATTAGAGAAAAAGATTCAAGAAAAGAATAGATTCGCCACAATTCAAAATTGTTTTTCGAAAAAAAACAGGAAATAAAAACAAGAATATTGTATCTTCGATGTTCTTTTCAAGCAAAAAAAATTGAACATATACACTAAAATTAATTTTATTGATGTAATTCTAGTCGAAGTTAACTCACATTCTTCGTTCCAATGCCTTTGCAGTAAGCAGAGAGATTAGGAGAGTACCTATGAATAAAAAAATAGGATCGGGAACACACTTAGAGATAAATGTACAGTGATAATTAGTCACCGTTACTGTGATAATTATTGACTGTGACTAAATGTACTGTGATTATTAGTCACCGTTAGTTTAGTGAACACATGTGAGCCTAAGCTGCTACCTGACGAGTGACCGCCTCCTGTTAAGGAATTCCGACATCAAGACAGGAATCCTGTGTACGGGATCCCAGATCCTGAGGAGCTTGGGATTTCGAGCGCAGTTGTCTTACTTGAAACACTAACCCATCATCCTTATCATAGAACAGGTAAAAAATATAACTCAGTACTCACTGCAGTGAGTGACAGAAGAGCGCATTTTCTCGTCGACGAAAACGTGAAGTCATGGACGGACAGACAGACGGACGGACATGGCGAGCACAATAGCGCATTTTTTTCATAAATGAGAAAATGCGATAAAAATGAATAAATAATATTCTATGCATGATAAAATGATATAAGAAATAAAATTTTCGTTGAGGATGCGATTGGTCTTAGCTTCAGAATAAGCTATCGCATGAGTGTGTGAAAAATTGTATGATCATAACACATAAACAATAAAATAAAAAACTTATTTCGTACCGGAAAAATTTATTGCT